AGTAAAATTCAGTTGGACTATGTCGTTGTATTTCTCCTGCTCGGCATTTATTTTGCTCTGGATTTCTACCGTTTTCCGCCCGACAAACCTTGGTAAGCCTAGAAAGAACAATAGGACAGCGCTGTTGGAGTCGTTTTTCACATACTTCATGACGAGTGAATTCCGCATTCCCTTTCGTCTCTGGAAATTGTCCGGGGCGGACGGTACGACGAAGAGAAGTCTAGCTTGTCGCTCCTCGCATATTCTCTCGTGGTTGTGGACGTAGCCGTGTGGATGAGAGTTGATCACGGGCCCAGCTAAAAACTCCGACACAGGGGGCGACACCTCCACTATCGTGGATAGCTCTGGAAGGACATGGGCCGGCTTGACGATAGGGCAGATGAGTGATCTGTCCAGCTCTGTCTCTACGACTTTTTCGTTGGTTTTCTCGGTTTTCTCCGTTTTCTCGATTTTCTCGGTTAGTTTCTTCGTGAGGAGATTGGGCGAGAGAAGGATAAGAATGATGCTTGCGGCTGAGACGAGGGAGAACTTTTTTCTACGGGACAGGGTTTTCCCGTACTGGAGCACTCTCGGCCGCCAGCGGCAAAAACGGAGAACTGTGGAAAATGTAAAAGAAAATAAATAAACAAATTATACAGTTTCGCACGCATGCTGCAAACACATTCATAGTGAAACACACACATAGCGAATACACACATGGCACAACACGCACATAGTGAACACGTACAGGCTCAAAATATGCAAATGGGCTCGTTTTCTTCAGTAACTGACTTCCTTTGCCTGACTACGCGATTTTCCTGCATGCACGTTTTTTTGTCAGCCGTACAGGTGACTAAGAGGCCTGGATTCGACTCATTTTGGAAGGAAATTTGCATTTTTAAGTACATTTTTGCTTCTTCATTGCACTTTACTTTATTAATATAGTTGTATCTCATAATATGTTGTACTGCAGTAGATTTGTGCTGAAAAACAGCACCAAAAAAGGAACTAAAACACTTGACCCAGATAATTTCGCTCTCGAGAGAGCTAAAAATAGGCTAGACCTAGCTTTCGTCTCGTATGAGCTAAAATGTATGCTAGGGATAGACGCTGGCCTCTGTGTAATTTATTTTAAAAAGATAGTCTTGTCTAGACCTATACATAGATTCTATGTGTCTATAGATCTACACACCAGAAACAATGCTGAAAATGTAAATAAATAAATAATTTGCCTCTGCCTGTCTGTTTTTCTCATAATCATAACACTTTGGGCGACTGGTCTGACGCAGTGGACGTGGATCGCCTTGAATAGGTTCTACACCATGCAAAACGTACAATAGCCTGGCCTGGAAGTGATCTTATGTAGACTTATTTTGCAGCTCCACGCAGGACATCTAGGGCCAGCGTTTTCCACGAGTCATTTTGGATTCCAAGTGAATATATACACAGTAAAACACGCACATAGCGAACACGTGCAAGGTAAATCAGGCACATAGCGAACACGTGTATAGTAAATACGCAAATAGCGAACATGTGCATGGTAAAACACGCACATAGCGAACACGTGAATAGTATAGTTTTTTTCAGTTCAAATATTCACATAACAAATTCAAATGCCGCATAGAAAGACCAAATTACACCTAACAAATCCAAATATACAAATGACGTCATAAAAAGTCCTAATGCAACAATAGCAAGTTCATGTAAACATAGAAATCTCAAATGTAACACATAGCAAATTCAAATGCCACATAGCAATTTCAAATGTAAATAATATGCTTGGAATGGAGAAAAAAGAGACTAAAAATATAAGAAGTGTAAGAAGTAAAAGGGTTTGGGGTTTCTTCGCCACGAAAAACTCTGATGTAATCCGCGGTGTGCCACAAGGAAGATATTACGTGAAACGAAACTAACTGTTAATTTTTATTAACCAGAAAATAAACCCATAGTTTAAACAGAAACAAATGGTCATGATAAAAATCAGCAAAATGCTGGTGTATATACATGTATAACTAACTGGATGAAATGTAACGCCAAATTTACTTTTATTTACTTATTGTTGCATTACAAAACGCTGCGGCATATTGGCGTGCATTGATCTGAAGACTGCTGCCATTTTCACTATAGTTCCAGTTTGGGTTTTTAGTTCCATTAACTGGGCAAGTGTTACCATCCTTTGTCGGTGAGTCTGCCGAGTGATCATTTAGTCTCTTACTTCAGCGAACATCTGTTTCAAATCGTATTTTCAAAAAATAATGTTTCAATGGTGCAGGACCACCGAGATCAACTTCTATCCCCGAAAGGACCGATCCAAACGGTAAATTCGTGTAAAGTCCCTTTCCCAAGGACACATCGCCGGACCGAATTGAGGCTCGAACCCCCGGACCCGAATTAAGCTATTCGCGCCTCTAAATCGTATTTCCAAATTTAAAATCGTTTTCCCAGATTGTAAGACAAGGTATGCAGGTAGCAAGATATTTCACCTCGAGTCTATTTGTTGAAACGAAACTGTTAAATGAAGCAAAAAATAAACAGTAAAAATAAAAATGAAAATGAAAATAAACAAGTTTAAACAAAAAAGAATGGTCATGGTAACACTAGCGTTCTTGTAGATGTTAAGAAAATGTGTTTAGGGGGACAGATATTTCACTCCCAATCCATTGATGAGTTGCCATTTAAGCTTGCCTTAATGCACGAGCGTTGTTACATACCAAGCATTTTTCGTTGTGGGAATAGTTGGAACAGTGTCTTAGAGGGATGTGTTGAAACAAAGATAGTACAAGACAAGATGGGCCACTTTTCTCTTTGAGCCAATTAAAAAAGTGTCCTCAAAATTTGGTGGCGCCCTCTTCACAAAAGCGCACTCTTTGCGAACAGAGTTACCCTACTTGAGTTTTAAAAAATCAAAGTGAAACAAGCAAGTTTTGGGATAAATTTCGAAAGAACGCTTTTTAAAAATGGTTACGCTGACAAAAAACCTCTTCCGGAGGAAAAGGAGATGGTTTTCTTCGTTTAATTTGACTTTAGAATGAAGGGCGAGAGGTCATTAAAATAAATAAAAAACTAAAACTCCGCACTGAACGTACCCGAACTGCTGATGAACAGCAGTCGATCTGCGCACGCAAGGAGGTGCTATTCCTATTCTTCTTCTGGAAAAACGAAAGAGAGCTTCAAAACAGACTGCAGCGCCATCTGAAGCAAAGAGCATACTTCCTGCGGACACTTTTTAGGCTGAGTGGCCCATCTTGTCTTGTGCTATCTTTGGTTGAAATAATAGATGCCATTCCCTTTACTTGAAAGTCGTGAAAGACTAGGCCACCCTCGGCACTGATAGCAATAAATTATGTCATCGTGCGGTTCGGTCCCCTTCGAACCTGCACTACTGAAACAAAGCATTGACCACTCCGTGTTCATCCTCGGTTTCTCTTCGTCAAAAGCTTGATAACAGCCTCATCGATGAAGGCAAATTCATACCGCTAATTATGTTCTGCATCAGCCATGCTGCATTTTATGTCTTGTTGCTTCAGTCCTATTATATTTTTTCCCCCGCCGGAGCATCCTCGGGATTTGATTTTATAATGATCAATTCACCTTAAAAGTAAAAGTAGATTGCGTATGATTGTCGTCAACTCAGTTTGAGCACATTACAATGCTTCTCAGGCTGAATAATCTTTGTGGAGGAAATTTTACTTTTGCTATGAGGCATTTGAACTTGACAATGTGTTACATTTGGATTTGCTGTTTTTACATTTGAACTTGTTACGCACAATTGTGCACTAAAAATAATTTATTACATGAGTTGTGGACACTGTGGTGTAAGATCATGATTTATCCTACGAGTGAAATTGCCAAGTTGTAATCAAGAGTTTCAACGAGCGATTACAACTGGCAATTTCACAAGTAGGATAAATCATGGTCTAACACCACAACGAGTGTAAAAAATTTTTTAATACCATACTGATATCAGCTGGCGAAATACATCCGTACCAACAAAGTTCAAATGACCCGCCAATTGGACAAGAGGATCCATTCTAGAGTCTCACATGAAAACAACATTTTCATACCCGTCGAAGTCAGACTGAGAATTGTGAAAAATCTGGATTGTTTTCCTTTACTTTTAGCCACACTAATTTACAAGTTGTGCCATCCGTGTGTCTCCCCCCGCGAAACAAGCCCCAAACAAAACTATCATAACGTAAATATATATAAACAAAGTAATCAGAAAACGTACGATTCAAAAGTTGAAAGAAACTGCATTAATATGGCATGTTGTTGTTAGAATACAGATGACGTTGATTTTGATTTCAAACTTCGTAACCAAAACAAACCAAAGACAAAGAGTTATTCTCTAGAGTCTAGATTCTAGATTTAGATATCTAGATCTAGACTAGATCTAGATTTAGATTCTAGATCTAAATCTAGATCTAGATCTAGATCTAGATTCTCGAGATCTAACGCATTGTTCATTGCATTAAATTGGTCAAAGATGGAAAAAAAGGCTTTTTAACAACAAAAGTTGTCAAGTTACTCAGATACTGATGTGGTAATTCTAAATATGTAGTTAGACCAAAGATAGTACATAACAAGATGGGCCACTCAGCCAAAAAAGTGTCCGCCGGAAGTTCGCTCTTTGCTTCAGATGGCGCTGCAGTCTGTTTTGAAGCTGTCTTTCGTTTTTCACACACACCATACACACACACACACACACACACACACACACACACACACACACACACACACAAAGAGAGAAAAAAAAGAAGAAAAAAAGACCTAGAGTCTACATCTGAACCGACAACAACTCCAACATCACCGACCATATCATCGCAAAAACCATTGCCCGTCACCCCTCCTTCAGCAGACAAGTCTCAACACCAGTCAACAAACAATCCACTGACTTATTCGATGACGACATTGAACCGGACAGTCTAAATTGGGCGACTGAAAGCGAGAATATAGATACACAAAAAGAAATATATATATAAAACAATCGCTGAACGGCCACACAAAAAAGGACGGACGACAACTAAGACGGCGACGGACAGGAAAAGAACATCGGACGACATAGTGAAAAATAATACGAAGTACTAGATTCTAGGTGACACAAATGACGACAACAATAGCGACAAAGACAGACATAAGAAACAAGCCAGAACAGACCACATGGAAACAGCAGACACCGACTCTGAATGTTTCTAAATTAAAAGATTTCCCTCTCATTTTTCAGTTTTCAATTCCACAGAACATCACAGGAAGAATGAATTGATAGTCTTGACAGTGAACACAAGAGGTACGATTGGAAAGCTGCACCAAATAACACAACTCATCACTACTCAAAAACCAGACTTTCTATTTTTGCAGGAAACAAACATAAGCACCAACTATCAGGCAAAATCGTATACACACTCACTAGGACTCAGTAAAGGAATATTTAGTTTAGGTAAATTTTGTAGAGGAACAGCTATATTACAAACATCAAACCGATGGCAGATCACACAACAAACAACACACAATGAAACAGGTAGAATAACAACCGCAACAATAACCGATAATCTCAACACCTACAAATTAGTAAACATATACGCACCAGCCCACCCAAGCACCAGAACGAGTTTTTACGAGGAACTACAACAAACACTAAGTAA